GTAGAGATTAGCCAAAAAAGCAGTTTCTGAGGCAGCTATTGTGGATACCTGCTAGCACCTTGTAGCCCTTTCTCCCTAATATGCCAACTGCGATACCATACGCAAACCATTACCGTTTTTTCCAGATCTCTGGCTATTCGCCAGAGATGATAGACCCTGTATCTAGCAGTTAGTTATTTCCCAGTTAGAGTTAGTTCCCCGGAATCAGATAAGTTATGTTGCGCTGGAGAGATCATTGAGGCTTTTTGACCAGTCTAAGATTTCGATTTGTTTTTTTTTCATTCGACAAATCTCCCTAACATCTGATTTCAGGTATACACTCTCACATCGTTTCCAACTTCGTGAAAATTCCCGGACATGTTCGTTCCTCGTCTCGTTGCATGGACTCATATGTCTATGCTTTTTGGCATTCACACTCGTCGATCATGCTAATGCCGATGTTAGTAATACCAACGACATGTACACACTACTTTTTAAAAGGGTTTGTTTACTCTTTCTTTCGAGCATTTTGCAAATGATAGCAGCCAGCTATATTCAGCAGTACTGTAATAAGGTCATTTTTTCATGATTTCAGGAACTTTCTTACGTCATTTCACCGCTGTTCACGATACTTTTTGCATTGAATTTCCTTTGCCGTCTTGATATTGTCTATGACAAAGCAAAGAAATTTGTTCGAGCAATTTACGGTTATGAAGAAGGTTGGTGATTTCAGAACAATTTTACTCATAGGGAAGCATCCTAGTACGTCCAAGATCCAGTAACTAATTCAGCGTGCTGCTGTGCTCTTACCTGGGGCTACTGAACTGACTAATCAGTATACTACCCCTGTTTCAAGTTACTGGAGTTTATACTTGGGGTAGAAGCATAACCTGAAGCGAACAGCCTCCATCGGCATTCATGGATGCGCTACGTTTCCTGTCCTTTCTAGATTAGAGTTGTGGCCGCTCGATTTTCCGAAAAAATCTTTTTTCTAGACGAACCAATACCAGATCTCTTGAAATTTTCTCATATAAACGATCGTAGTACAACTGAAGAGACCTCTCGAATTTGACGCCAGAGAGCTATTGTATAATACAGAGCTGAGCTCCAAATCGTGATCTGATTGTGTGTTAAATTGACCATTTCAAGTATAACTCCTGACTTTTCAGAGAAAAATCTTCTCGCTTGATGGGAATATTGACGATATCGCTAGTATTTTACGTTATCACATTATCGTTCCGACATTATTCACTCCATGGGTTCATCAGTTGATCTATCAAGTCAACCACATTTAATCTCAGTAGTTGATCTCAGTTTATTTGTTGTGCAGATATTTATAAATAAAACATATTTGTGTGTTTTGTGGCCGAATTATTCCATGTCAAAAAAAAAACAGTATTCGGGTGGAGTGATCAATCTTTTCCGTACTTTCA